GAGCTGGCAGTCAGCACAGGGCCCAACGCGGGGCTCGAACCCACGAACCGCGAGATCATGACCTAAGCGAAAGTCAGACGCTTAACCGACTAAGCCACCCAGGCGCCCCGGCCCTCACTTACTTTCAATACTTACCAGAGCCTGTCATTTTTTTCCTCTTTACATTTATATGACAGTACGGAATTGTATATGCTACAAGAAACAGCTCTTCTGACCTCCTTGGTGGCTGCTCTGTGCACTACCACACATTACAACTGCACCTTGGTAACCTGGCTTGAAATCCTACCTCTCTCTGGTTGCTGAGACTGTGCCTTCAATTGTTTGAGGCATTACAATATGAGTTCTGGAGTTAGAGGGCCTGGGTTCGAATCCTGGCTTCACCACTTACTAGCTGTGTGGCCTGGGGCAAGGTCACCCCTCTGTGCCTCAGCTTCCTGACCTGGAAGGGCACTTATCTTTGAGGGGTTGTAAAGGTTAAATGAGTTAACAGGAGGAAGCACTTAGAACAGTCTGGCATACAGTAAGTGACCAAACCAACATTATTAATGTGTTAGTCATATCACGGAACCAACTTCAGCCCTTGTACAGTCAGCCATTGTTCTCTTAGAGGAGCTCGGCTTGGGAGACCCGAGGGCACCTTTAACTGGAATATTAAAACAGATGAACCATATCATTCAGTAACCCATCTACTTTTTATACAATCATCACTTAAATGGATAATGCTGTTCATTTTCACAAGGTCAGCAGGGGTCAGTACAAAGTCTTCAGCTGCTTTTCCGGACTCGGCCTAGAGGAGGCAGCACGAGATGGTAGAAAAGGCTGGAATTTAGGAGCCTGAAGCCCTGCAGTCACTAATGGGCTGCCTAACCTTGGTAACAACTAGACTTCAGTTTCCTCTTCAGTCAAATAGCTGAATTCTAAAGCATCCAGAGGCATCTGGCCGTGTCCTCAGTTAAAGATATAGCAAATGTATGGGAGTACCACAGATAGGCTATATCTGGAGGCATATTTAAGAAACTTAAAAATAGATGATGGGAGGAGGAGTCACACAATACTATTCTTTCTGTACCTTGTAAATGAAAAAAATATTTTTTTTGAGAAGTGAACTAGTTGGCTAAAAGTAAATTTTCTTGTAACACCGGAATAGGCCTTCTGACAGGAATTGGAAGAAGGTCGTCAGGCCGGCGGCCTCGAGTCCTGGCCCCTTTTCCCTCCGTAGGACCCCCGGTCCGCCGCCGGCTCTCACGCACGGGAGCCTCTTACCCTAGCCAAACCGGCGCACAGACGCCGAAGCTGCTGCGGCCATCTTAACTACGGGCAAGAGTCTCCCAAGTCGGCCGGCGGAAGAGCGAGAGAAGACGGCTCGAGGGCCGAATACACCAGGTTATCAACACCAGACCCGTAATGACGCTATTAAGTGATTCTCTCTAAAACTGAAAGACGCTCGAGTGCCACGGTCTTTTCTGAGGGCGCCTTCATTTTCTAGGACCTGGGACCACCAAGTTCGCGTAATGGACCGCTTCTCGCCGTCCTAGAGCGGCCCCACCGAGGCTACTTCCGGCCGCCTGGGACCGGAAGAACCCAGCTCCCCGGAGGCCGAATCCCGGGCGTCCCTCCCAGGTGCGTGGGGGTGGGAGGTGGGGACCCTGATACAGTCCCAGGTTCGGCTCCCGGCGCGCTGCTGAGGTGCCCGCTAAGGCCGGTCAGGAAGGAGGAGGGGGGAAAAGCCGAGGGCTGCGAACTTCCCCGAGGAATGGGGAGGTCTCTGGCGCGTGCCGGAACGTGATGCGGGAGACCTACAGCTACTTGGGTGCGCTCCGTGAGGTCCGGTCATCCCGCATCTCTGAAAAGGGAAGGGGGCGGCTGAGATGCGTAAGTCTCGGTGCCAGACTGGTCCCCACTCCTGCCCTAGCTTGACTTCGTTTCCCGTGATCCCCGTCAGATCGGCCTAACAAATGTACAGCCGAGCCTCTTCGGCCAGACTCTTCCCGTGGCTCCCCAGTCCTTCTGCAAAAAGTTAAGAACCTGTGTACCACAGCGTGAAGGCCCGTGGCATGCTAACCTCCTCCTCCTCCAGTTCAAACCCAGTCTCTCCCTACAGGCGATGATCCCCATTCGCTCCGTCTACATGGGATCTGGTTTTTGGAAGATAGGCATCTAACTTAATAACCCTAATCCAGTATCTTTCAGTGAGCTGCAGCTTTTTATCTTTATAGCTCTGCCCGAAGGCCTCCCTACTGCGCCCCCCGAGCTAATAGGTGACGTCTCTCTCCTTTAGTGTAAATTTAGAGCTTACTGTAAACCTAGAGCAGGAATCTTATCTTGGTTCACGAACGTCTCCGCACCTACAAACAGTGCCTGCCACACGGGAGATACCCAATATATTTTTCTGGAATGCTGAGAACAAACTGAGGGCTGATGGGAGTGGGGGAGAAGGGAAGGGGGGTGATGGGCATGGGGGAGGGCACTTGTTGGGATGAGCACTGGCTGTTATATGGAAACCAACTTGACAATAAACTATTCACGAAAAAAAAAATGAAGAATTGTTTCTTGAGTGCTTTGGGTTCTTCCTCAGGATTCCCAGACCCCAAACCAGCCTTCATCTCCAGCTGTGGGGTTTAGCAGAAGGCCCAGCTGTGGGGTTTAGATGCTCAGGATCTCCAAGACGATGCCCGAGAGAAAGAAAGATGAGAGGTGGGGGTAACGTCTCAGTTCCAGCTGGAAGGGAATATGTTGTGTTGAATAAGAAACACCATCTACATGTTCCTTACTACTTTTTGCTGAGCTGAATTTATGATACCCACTGGAGACTACAATCTTGACCTTCTCTTTCTCAATTGACTGAGGCATCTAGTGGTCCCATGGTCAGGTCACACTGTAAGAATCGTCCAAACTCTAAGACAGTGGCAGTGTATGAATTAAAGCTTAGGATGGAGACAGTTCACCTTTTGTCCTCAGGTGCCTGTACCTTGTAACAGCTCTCCTGGATGACGGTATCTCTTCGGGTTGGTCTCAAAGTAGAAATGTCCCTGACTTGTGACCCCCTCGATTGACCAACAGAGTCTAGGTGGGTGCTTCCAGGGGCTAGGGACCCATCTGCAGTTGTGAAGGTTGAGTAGACTTTGACTTAACTGGGCAAAAGTTACATTTTAAATCTGCTGTGTTTCACAACAGCCACTCAGAAAAATGATACATTTGGAAGGGGCCAGCAGAAGGAGTCTATTTGGGAGATGTCATGAGCCCCTGGGTTGCGAGGCAGTAGCTTGGTGTCTGAGCCTGTGGCCGAGGGTCCCTGTGTGTAGCTTGGCCTTTCCCAAGCCCCGACTCTACACCCAGCCTCAGTGCCTGGTGCTCACACAGCACCCTGCACCCAGTGCAGGCATGCTTTGCCATGACCTTTCACCTGACTCCACTCACTCTGGAGAGGGACCCTGTACCTGCAGCTATTGTGGCAACTCCTTCTGCCGTAGCTAGCACCGGTCATGCTCCCTGCCGACTCACACAGGCAAACTGTCTTATTCCTGTCCCCAGTGTGGGAGGTGCTTTAGCCAGAGACCCACCAGTAGACCCCAGCCTGGTGCCATGGACCTCAAGGGCCCACCATGAGAGCCCTATTAGTCTTATGGAAATCTGTGTGTTTGTGTGTGTGTGTGTGTGTGTGTGTGTTTTCCTTTTATGTGCAGTGGTGTGAGAGGCTGGGAGTAGCTAGGGCTCAGTCGAGTCCCTGGGCAAATCTGCATCCTTACCTTTTCCAGGCTTTTTGTCTTTTCCTTTTCGCCTTTCTGGTGTGATCAGCTCTATTTGCCCAGCTCCTCCGGTGTGGTGTGGAGAGAAGCATCCACCAGATAAAAGGTGTTGGGCAGAGGCCTCAGGGGGGCCTCTGGAAGGAGGCAAGCAGAGAAAAGCTCCAGACTAGATCCCAGACCTGCTGAAGGGAAGTGCATTTCCATGAGGGGTGTGAAATGCTGCAATTTAGCTGGCCAAAGGAAGAGGATCGAGTCATCTTAGGGCAGGGTATTTATGAAGGCACACGGACACGTACAGAGTAAGCCGCCAATTAAATGTGTGGAGAGAGGGAGGCTGGAGATAGAAATGAATGGGAGAGTTGATGCCATTTGCTGCGATAAAGACCCCAGGAGGAGCAGGCTGGAGGACGAAAGGGAGGAGTTCAGTTGCAGCCATGCCTAGTCCAAGGTGCTAGTGGGACATTCATGCAGGGAAAGGGCGGCAGGAGGCTCTGTGATCAGGGTCTTATGAGCCATGCTCGAGCTAGATAGAGGTAAACAGACGTTCGCGAGGCTTCCTGCAGGGCAGGTATGCCCGTCCCTCTCGCAAACCCCGGCGGCTGCGGGGACCCGACGCGGGGCAGTGGTGGCCTGCCGCCCCTCCGTGGGCCAGGCGGAGGCGGCCGCCCTCACCCGCACTTGTAGCCGTCGCGGCCATTTTGGCTGAGGGCTCGAGGACAAAGCCACCTGGAGACCCCGGGGGAGGCGTCATCTGGGCACGGTTGCGTAGGAGCAACGTTCGCGCGGCGCGTTGCCGCCATTTCTTTCCGATGGTCTGTGTCCCTTCGGCCGGCAGCTCTTGGTGGTTGGCCAGCGGGGTGGGCCCTCGAGGGGCCGGCTGCTGCGCTCCCGGCCTCCCGGCCCGCGCCCCGGAGGCTTCTGGCGCGGGGGGGGCTCCGCGGACCCCGGCCCGGGACTTGCCATGGCGCCGCCTCCGGCCCCGCTCCCCGCGTGGGAACCGGACGCGGCCGGGCGCGAGCGAAGGAGGCCCGGCGCCGTGAGCTTCGCGGACGTGGCCGTGTACTTCTCCCCGGAGGAGTGGGGGTGTCTGCGGCCCGCGCAGAGGGCCCTGTACCGGGACGTGATGCGGGAGACCTACGGCCACCTGGGCGCGCTCGGTGAGGCCCCGCCTGCTCGCCTGGGCCACCTCCCCGCCCAGCCCGCCCAGCCTCCGGGCCGGCTCGGGCGGTGGGAGGCCCTAGGTCCGGGAAGCCGGGACCGCGGGGGGCGGCCTCCCGGCAGCGTGGGGTTTGCGTTCTCCTCCCCCAGGGTTCCGAGGCACCAAGCCAGCCCTCATCTGCTGGGTGGAAGAAGAGGCCGACCTGTGGGGCCCGGATGCCCGGGATCCGGAGGTGGGAGAGTGTCTGACAGAAGCAGACACAGGTGACGTGTTGGGCACTGCGTCTCCTGGGACCTCCTCTGGGCCTGACCCCTCCTGCTCCCCTCTGCCAACACCTCCCCTGCTCCTCATTGTCTTCCCTGAAGTGCTTTCCCGTGCCAGCCCTTGCCTAGCTGCGGGTTCAGTCTAGAAGGGGTTGGCAGTATGACCCAGGCTCTGCTGGGATGCGGGACCCTGCCTGCCTGCCTGCCTCTCCAGCGATTCTGTGTCTCTCACCACTTGTTGGTCTCCGAGCCTTGTTGAGCTTCCCGTCATCCCTCCTGCCATTTTCCTCCACTCCAGCTTCTCTGCCACCTTTTGTTTCAGTTTTCTTTCTCTTGGTTATATTTTTGTGGCATCTCCATTCTCTTGGCTTCCACTGTTTTCTTTCTCCAGTTCATCCTTGCACAGGACCCTGTCTCTGTGAACTTGTCAATGGCAGCCGCATTCATACCTCTCTTGTACTTACTGCTGCCTGGACAGGATCCTTACACATCCACTCATCCTCCGTGATCCAGCAAAAATGCCCCCCTCCCCCATTTCCCCGACTCTGAGGTACAACATACGGTGCTCTGTTCCTTCCTCTCTCTTTTTTTTTTTTTTTTTGGTCTCTGCATCTTTTCTGTCCTCTGCAGCTCAGGAAAAGGTGTCACTCTGAGCTTCCTCACCTGTACTGAGCTGAGTCCCAGAGGCAGCCCTGGGTCCAGAACGTGGCTCTGTATCTAAGAGGCTTCTCTGTCACTGTTTGGGGTTTGGCTTTAAGGACCGGGACAAGCCAGAGTCTGAGCCCTCTGCTTACCTTCCAGTAGATTCCAGGAACAAGGAAGAGAAAGGACAAAGAGAAGAGACTGAGGCACTGGAGAAGATCCTTTCTGCAGAAGCTCGGCCTACTCTGAAGCACCCTTCTGCTGGGCTCCCTTATGGCTTGGAGCAGCCGAAGGCACCTCGCCGGGGCCGCCCCCCACTCTGCGCCCACCCCCCTGTCCCAAGGGCAGACCAGCGTCATGGTTGCTACGTGTGTGGGAAGAGTTTTGCCTGGCGCTCCACCCTGGTGGAGCACCTGTACACCCACACGGGGGAGAAGCCCTTCTGCTGCCCTGACTGCGGCAAGGGCTTTAGCCAGGCCTCCTCTCTGAGCAAGCACCGGGCCATCCACCGTGGGGAGCGGCCCCACCGCTGCCTGGACTGTGGCCGGGCCTTCACCCAGCGCTCTGCCCTCACCACTCACCTTCGGGTCCACACGGGCGAGAAGCCCTACCGCTGTGCCGACTGTGGCCGCCGCTTTAGCCAGAGCTCTGCCCTCTACCAGCACCAGCGGGTCCACAGTGGCGAGACTCCCTTCCCCTGCCCGGACTGTGGCCGCGCCTTTGCCCATGCGTCAGACCTTCGGCGCCACGTGCGCACGCACACGGGCGAGAAGCCCTACCCGTGCCCAGACTGTGGGCGCTGCTTCCGACAGAGCTCCGAAATGGCAGCCCATCGGCGTACCCACAGCGGTGAACGCCCCTACCCATGTCCCCAGTGTGGCAGGTGCTTTGGCCAGAAGTCAGCCATGGCCAAGCACCAGTGGGTCCATAGGCCTGGTGCTGGGGGCCACAGGGGCCGGAGTGCCAGCGGGTTGCCTGTGCCCTTGGCCCCTGGCCAAGGTGACCTGGACCCACCTGTGGGCTTCCAGCACTACCCAGAAATATTCCAGGAGTGTGGGTGATGGTGATGGCCTCAAAGATGGCCAGGCAATGAAGACGTAGACATTGCCTGATGCCCAGGCTGGGCTCAGGGGCCTGAGCCTCTGTGGCAGCTCCAGGGAGGTCACAGAATTCTGGGCAAGAGGTAGACATGGAAGATGAGGACCCTCTTATCTTAGGCCTTCCCAAGCTTGATCTGCTGACACCTTGCCCCCTACTGTCCCAGACTCTAGAGCCCCCTTTGCTGAATTAGGGCTGAGGTAAGCACTTCCACAAGACATCCACAGCAAAGGAAGAAAAGGCCGTTTCTCAGCTTAGACATGTTAAGAGGTAGAAGAGAACTTTGCCTTATCCATTGTCTTTTTAAATTTTTTTTTTTTAATGTTTTATTTATTTCTAGGAGAGAGAGACAGCATGAGCAGGGGAGGGTCAGAGAGAGGGAGTCACAGACTGAAACAGGCTCCAGGCTCTGAGCTGGCAGTCAGCACAGAGCCCGACGCGGGGCTCGAACCCACGAACCGCGAGATCATGACCTAAGCGGAAGTCAGACTCTTAACTGACTAAGCCACCCAGGCGCCCCTATCCATTGTCTTTTTACTGCAGGAGTTAAAAACTGATGGCCACGTACCGAATCTGGCTGGCAGCAACATTTAAAAAATCCTTTTTGGCCCAACCAGCATTTTAAAGTGTTACAAATTATCAGTTAAGATTTAAAAGGCTATTTCACCCCAAAATTCAGGTTTCTGGCCTCTTTGAAAAATCCAAAGATTTGGCAACTTGACCTGAGCTCCCGCAAAACCGCACCTGGCGGGAGCCGGGGGGCAGCTGTCCAGGCCCCACCACTCCATGTCAGCCCTCGACTAGCATCAGCTGGCCCTTGTCATTGCTTGTCCATGTCTCTGGGTGAAGCAGGCCCTCTCCATCTGGCGTTTCCCCCTCGTTTGCTGTGACCTTCTGGGTTCCTCCAGTCATTTGAGTTTGCAAAGTGGTGTACAGCATTCATGTTCTCCTGAATCAAGGATTCAGGTAGCGCGCATATATGTGAAAGGCTGGCAGAGAGAAGTAAAAGCAGGCTTTATTTCAGATCTTTGCTGCATCACATTCTCTGATTTACAAAGTACCATCTTGTCCATCAACTCATTTTGCCCTCTTAACCACCTGAGGGAGGAACCATCTTGCTCAGAAAGGACAGTCCAGTGAGGAAGAGGCTGTCAGCGCTGTATGTTGTGCCCCAAACCGAGTGGCATCAGGCCACAGTAGGACTCTCAGCTGACTGGCAGTTCCTGTTTTGGAAGAGGGAGGCTCTGAGGATGCCCTCCAGTCTTTCTTGGGCCACCCTGGGAGAGCCCTGTTACTCAGGTTTCAGCCACCCTCGACCCCGCGAGGAGGGCCTCCTCTTTTTGAAATGGAAGAGATCTTGGCTTTTCCATCCTTTTCCATTTGGGACGCTGATACTGGGGGATGCCAAGCAACCTGGCCAAGGTCACATACAGAATGGTACTCCAGGGTTCTTGGTTTATGGCCATCTTGACCATACCACTTCTGAGGTCCTTGCCAGTGTCTCAGCTAGGGTTCTGGAGACATCTGCTCACTCCCTGTAATGGGCCCCCAAGCAATGACCTGAACTAGGGACAGAGCAACCCAGTTATCAGTGAAGTCCAGGTACAAGATGACTGTCAAGACACACATAGCAAAGCAAGGCAGGGGAGAAAACAGATGAGAGTTCCGGGCAAGCAGAAGCAAAGCTTGCCTTTTTTTTTAAATTTTTAACGTTTTAGTTATTTTTGAGAGACAGAGTAGGGAAGGGGCAGAGAGACAGACAGAATCCGAAGCAGGCTCCAGGCCCCAAGCTGTCAGCACAGAGCCGGACATGTGGCTCAAACCCAAGAACTGTGAGATCATGACCTGAGCCAAAGTCAGTTGCTTAACCGACTGAGCTATCCGGGGGCCCCAAAGCTTGCCTCTTTTTAAGGACCACTCATCATGAACAAAGAGGGGTCAGGCCAGGAACATTTGGGTTTAGTGGCCAAGGGAACTGTGCTTGTCTTTATTCCCAAGCTGTATCACCTGTGACCATTATCCATCTACCACCAGTTCCTCTGTGGTCAAGTCCAGCCTTGTCCAGGTGGTGAAGCAGCCAGCCAGGAGCAGACCTGCTTCTGCCTCTGGCCAGGAGGACCCTTCACCTTCACCCCAAGGAGTAATCGCAGGGCCTTAGGTCTTCTGCTACCCTGTGTGCACATGCTTTCACCGAGCTCATCTCCAGTCCTGTCTAGCCTGCCTAAGGAAGAAACCAGCTTTGTTGTAAAGGAAGAGGTAGAAAATTTGGGGAAAAGACACTATTGGGTGAATGTAATCAACTGACCATTCCAACTTTAATCTTCAAATCGTATCCCACCAAGACCTGACACCCTAAATTTCATTGGGAGGATTGGCTCATATGCCGCTTTGTCACAAGAAGGACGCAAAGTGAAAAGGAGCACTTTGGCAACAGGAGCTACATTTATAGCAGCTTTTAATTCCCTAGGGAAGCCAGTGTCCAACCCTTCCCTTGGCTAAGCCTCAGCACTGCCTGGGGAAGGCCCAAACTGCAAAAGCCCAGCCTGTCAGCTCCGATTCAAAGTCAGATCTAGACTCTGCCTGCAGCTTGCCAATTAAAGGTACCATAATTACTACTTTCTCTGAGTGCTTTGAAGTTTGCAAGTCTTGCTTAGGGCCCCAACACCAGACCCAGCTCCTCTGCTTCCTGCCCTTGTGACCCAACTTTCCACCATTTAATCAATATTTGAGTGTAATGAAATACTTAAGGCTCAGCCTCACTCTGTTCTCAGCTTCTCATTTCTTGGCATGGATACCGCCACCAGAGATGGGGCTCCCTTTTCTCTCCGCTACCACAGGTCTTTGAGGCTCAGACTCTGAACAATTTAAGCCAGGAAGACAGTGTTATTAGGGCTTCCTGGTGCATCAAGAGAAATGCTTGTCTGCACCAGACAAAATGAGCCCCATCCACAAGGCTAGAGTGAAAGGTCAAGGTCATGACCACATGACCCACTCCTAGCTTGTCCAAGCCATGTAAAATACAGACAGTATTGACTTGAGCTTTTATTTATTTATTTTTTAATGTTTTTATTTATTTCTGACACAGGGCTCGAACCCACGAACTGCGAGTTCGTGACCTAAGTGAAAGTCGGACGCTTAACCAACTAAGCCACCCAAGCGCCCCATTGACTTGAGCTTTTAAAGACCCCTAAATATTTTTTGAATGTTTATATGCATCTTTCTAGAAACAGGATGTGCAAAGATGTTTATGAGCCAAAGAAGCAAAAACCTGCTCTAGGCCAGTTTAAAAATTTTTTTTAAATTAATTAATTAATTTTTTTGAGAGAGATGGCGTGCAAGTAGGGGGAGGCAGCAATGGGGGAGACACAGAATCCAAAGCAGCCTCTGAGCTGTCAGCACACAGTCCAACACAGGGCTTGAACCTGTGAACTATGAGATCATGATCTGAGCCGAAGTCAGACGCTTTACCAACTGAGCCATCCAGGTGCCCCTATGCCAGCATTTTTCAAAATAAGGCCTTTCTGCCACAGAATCCCATGCAGTAACTTTAAAATGTACCTAGCTTCCGGGTTCTGCCTCCGGCGTATTGAATCAGAATCTCCTGGGATGGAATGTTATGCCTGGTAATGATGCGTTGAACAAAATGTTACTTTCTAGCTGCTCTTAATTTTGCAAAATGTGTCAGGTCAGAGGATGACCTGGCCATATACAAAGACTTCCATTTTCTTTGTTCTTCCCAAAGGGGCCTGTGCCATGGCTGAGCTTTTCCTGGGGACCCGAAATCTTGAAAATACAGGGGAATCTCTTGTAGCATCTGACAGAAGGCCTCTTAAGAGCCTTGTCTGTTGCATGCAGGGAAATGGCAGTTCACGCAGGAGCCCCCTAACACTGAGAACCTTTGCTCGAGTGTTGGCCAAGTTGGCTGGAGCAGTCAATAGCTCTGCCCCAGTGCTGCTGCACACCAGTGATGATGCTGTGAACACGGTGGCCCCCCAACTCAGGACACACACGCGGCTCTTCCTCACCAGGACCCAGTGGTAGAATAAGGTCAGTGGACTCCTGCCTTGGATTAGTTGGTGCTGAGTCAAGTTGGAATGCGCATCGGAGGATTCCCTGTGCTTAGAGCCTCTCACTGGTATGGGTGAGTGGCAGACAGACGCTGGTTGCTTCTCGAAGGTCCATTGCATGGATAGCATTGGTACTCTTTTACTCTAGGCACTAGTAAGGCTGAATATCCATGTTGAAATGCTGGTGCCAGAGCAGCTTGAAGCCCTGGCCTGACTCCTGCTACACGTGGGGCTTGTGAAGAGTGCAGGATGATGGGACCGCTTCAGAGTCGTGGCTGGAGGCCTTGCTACACACTTGGCAGGGAACAGCTACTTTCCTGTGTAAATTTTCCTGTGGGTAAGCAGGTTAGAGGTCAGAGAAAGTCTCTAATGAAGGAGACTTGTCTCACACTTATGTGAGTGCACGTGTAGTGTATTCTATCCACATGGGCCATTTAATGCTGGGCCGTGTGAGCCATTCTTGGTAAGAAGTTTTAGGACAGGCGTGGAGGTGGAAGTTGTTTCTCTGGAGGGGAAAAAAGTACTCCTGCTTTACTTGCAGGAAGATAATTGTGATTCTATTTGTAAGCCTGCTTTCCCTAGGCTTTTACCACTTGGAATTCTCCAGATTCTTGTTCTCGTCTCTTTCAGGAGAATGGAAGATGCCATCTTTCCTCCTAACCACTTTCTTCCCTTCATTTTTCTGAGAAGGCAACCAAAACAAACAAACAAACCCGCAATCAAGGCTCCTGCATCACTCATACAAGGAGAATTTGGCTGGTCAATTGTCAAGCACGCTACCAAAATAGTTTTAGCAGCAAGGGTAAAAAAAAAAAAAAAAAAAAAAAAGGACAAGAATTGGATCCTATGAATTTGTCTTTCCAGAGTCACCTTCTCCTTGATTCAAAGCTGCACCTAGGGCAGTGTCTCTCAGTTTCCGTTCCTCTACAAGCTTCTATCCCAAGTCAGACAGGACTGGAGAGTTCTTAGCTCCCTTAAAGGCCAGATGGTTCTCTACTCCTCCTGAACTCCATCACCCTCACGTGGAAGTAACTCTCATAGAATCCCTACCTCCCCGTGAGAAAATCCAGGAACCGGGGACTAAGGACCCCACTTCGGGGAAGGTGGAAGGAAGAGGCAGGTAATAGGAAAGAAAGCAGCCTCCTTTCTGCAGGAGGATCCGCCAACTGGCCCCTTCAGCGCCAGGAACCCGTGGGAGAAAGGAAAGTGCTGCGAAAGGAAGTATGCGGGAGATCAAAGGAGGAAGGCTGTGCGTCTCCAGATTCCTGGCTTTCTTCAAAAAGACGAAACAGAATGAAAGGTAAATAGGGGCAGGAAAAGTTCTGAAAGCACACGCCCAACTGCCCAACTCGAAGGGAGACGCCAACTGCCTCCCACTCAGCCCGCCGGCGCTTCGGGCCGAGGGGGTAGGTGGAACGGGCCTGCGCTCCCTCCAGCCAATCAGAATGGTGCCTCGCGTTCCCTGGCGACCATTAACGCCTAGCAGTTGGTGTAGTGGGAGGAGGCGGGACGATCGAGCTCTACCGGCCAATCGCTGTACTCCCTGGGAGGTAGAAGCACTACCTCAGGAAGCCAGAGGCGGGGCTGTTTCCCTGGCAACGATCCTAGCCCTCCCGGAGTGGGTAGGGAGGAACAGTAGGGAGGAGATTAGGAGGGGCAGAGAGGGGAGGGGGCCAGGAGGAGTCCGGGTGGGCGCGCGGATATGGAGAAGTAGAGTTCGGATCGGGGTGGGGTGGGGTGGGGTGGGGTGGGGGTGAGGGGTTGCGGGGGAGGTCCCAGACTCAGGAGCTCAAGGCGAGGGGCCCGTCCAGGTTCCCGAGGCGCGGCCGGAGCTGACCCCGAGGCCTGAGGGGAGGGGAGCTAGACACCGCCCCCGCTGGCGCCGGGAAGCGTCGCTCCTTCTCGCTGACCTTGGTCTCGCTTGTCGCCTCGCCCTTGGCCACAGGCACTGACTGACGCAGGGCTCTGGAAACGGGTAGATAGGCTCCTGGATGGACGAAGACCTAGGGCACAGCACACAAACTGCCCCAAACCTTTCCCGCCGGCTCCGGGGCGCCCCATCACCCCCCACCTCAACCACAGGGCCATCCAGCCCAGGGTTAATGCCAACGAGTTTCCACCTCCAGCCGCTCCTAGAGAGGCCGTGGCGCTAGCCAGCGGGGGAAACTGGCCGCGGACGGACACTTCCTGTGCGAGAGGGGGAGGGGGCGGACAGCCGCAGCCCAGCCCGGGCTGGGGGGCCAGACGGCGGGGTCGCGGGCGGGGAGCGGCATTCGGGGGCGGCAGGGCGAGTCGTGAAGACCCTCATCTCCGAAGCCACGACGTACGGGGCCCTTTGAGGGCCTCAGGGCAAGGCGAGACCTTGTGGGTGGGGGCGGGGCCGCGGGTAGGGGAGGGGCCCGGCCGGCCGGAGAGGCCCAGGGTCAAGACGTCCGGCCTCAGGGGCTCGGGCTGGGCAGCCGGGTCCCCTGGGCGGCTCTGAACAGGCGGGCGGCGAGGGCCCGGGTCTCAGGGCACTCAGGCCTGGTCGCAGGATCGTCCGCCATCGCCGCCGCCGCAGCACTGGGAGCCGGCGGGGATGGAACGGGAGGCGTCGCCGTGGGGCCTCGAGCCCGGGGATGTGCAAAGTCCTGATGAAGTGGGGAGCTCCGAAGGGTCCCTCAAAGGTGAGGGAGGGAGCGCCTGTCCGAGGAGCGTGTCTGGGAGCGGGAGAGGGGACTGTGGGCCGTGGGAGGGGTAGAGAGCCGTGGGCTTGGACACCTGGGACTTGGAGGAGGCGGAGGCGGGGACTGGACGTCCTGGGTCGGCTGAGGGGGAGGTGGGAATTTCAGCACCTGCCCAAGGGCCAGCGACCCTGCTGGAGAAGGAGGGAGAGGTTTGTGACTACTAGTGGTGGGACCTAATGACCTTCCAGGCCCCACATATTACGGGTTTTCTGTAATTCTCTGATCCTGCAGGCAACGGGAGTGAGAATGAGGAAGAAGAAATGTCTCAACAAGAAGGCACTGGGGACTATGAGGTCGAAGAGATACCCTTTGGGCTTGAGCCCCAGAGCCCTGGGTTTGAGCCAGAAAGCCCTGAGTTTGAACCCCAAAGCCCCAGGTTTGAGCCCGAAAGCCCAGGTTTTGAGTCCCGAAGCCCTGGGTTTGTGCCCCCAAGCCCTGAATTTGCACCCAGAAGCCCTGAATCAGGTTCTCAGAGCCCTGAGTTTGAACCCCAAAGCCCTAGGTATGAGCCCCAGAGCCCTGGTTATGAACCTAAGAGCCCTGGCTATGAACCCCGGAGCCCTGGGTATGAACCCAAGAGCCCTGGCTATGAACCCCGGAGCCCTGGGTATGAACCCCGGAGCCCTGGGTATGAACCCCAGAGCCCAGGGTATGAGCCCCAGAACCCTCTGTTCAAAACCCAAAGCCCTGAATTTGAAGCTCAAAGTTCCAAATTTCAGGAAGGTGCTGAGATGCTTCTGAATCCAGAGGAAAAGAATCCCTTGAGCATCCCCTTGGGAGTCCATCCCTTGGACTCCTTCACCCAGGGATTTGGGGAGCAGCCCACGGGGGCCTTGCCCCTAGGGCCACCTTTTGAGATGCCCACAGGGGCCCTACTGGCTACACCCCAGTTTGAGATGCTCCAGAATCCCCTGGGCCTGACCGGAACCCTTAGGGGGCCAGGCCGGCGAGGTGGCCGGGCCAGGGGTGGGCAGGGCCCTCGGCCTAATATTTGTGGCATCTGTGGGAAGAGCTTCGGGCGGGGCTCCACCCTGATCCAGCACCAGCGCATCCATACGGGTGAGAAGCCCTATAAATGTGAGGTCTGTAGCAAGGCCTTCTCCCAGAGCTCTGACCTCATCAAACACCAGCGCACCCACACGGGAGAGCGGCCCTACAAGTGTCCCCGCTGCGGCAAGGCCTTCGCTGACAGCTCTTACCTGCTTCGCCACCAGCGCACCCACTCTGGTCAGAAGCCCTACAAGTGCCCGCACTGTGGCAAGGCCTTCGGTGACAGCTCCTACCTCCTGCGGCACCAGCGCACCCACAGCCACGAGCGGCCCTACAGCTGCCCCGAGTGCGGCAAGTGCTATAGCCAGAACTCTTCCCTGCGCAGTCACCAGAGGGTGCACACCGGGCAAAGGCCCTTCAGCTGTGGCATCTGCGGCAAGAGCTTCTCGCAGCGCTCGGCACTTATCCCCCACGCCCGCAGCCACGCTCGCGAGAAGCCCTTCAAGTGCCCTGAGTGCGGCAAGCGCTTCGGCCAGAGCTCCGTGCTGGCCATCCATGCCCGCACCCACCTGCCAGGCCGCACCTACAGCTGCCCCGACTGCGGCAAGACCTTCAACCGCTCCTCCACGCTGATTCAGCACCAGCGCTCCCACACGGGCGAGCGGCCCTACAGGTGCGCCGTGTGCGGCAAGGGCTTCTGCCGCTCGTCCACGCTGCTGCAGCATCACCGGGTCCACAGCGGGGAGCGGCCCTACAAGTGCGATGACTGTGGAAAGGCCTTCTCGCAGAGCTCCGACCTCATCCGCCACCAGCGGACCCACGCAGCCGGCCGCCGCTGACCTGGGGGCCCCTGCGGGGGGAGGGGGAGGCAGTGGGCAGAAGAGAAGGGGATGGGAAGCTAGAGAAATCTTTAGAGGGAATAGTGGAAAAGCTGGAGGAGGATGGATGGAGGAGGAGTGGGGCCAGGGTGGAGGAAGTTGCGCGCCCTGGAGACTTATGGGAAACGGGCTATGAAGAGGGGTTGGAGAGAGGCCAAGCAGGCAGTGGGAGGCTCTGGGAGAGATCCAGAAAAGAGGTCAGCAGAGATCTGGCCTTGGCAGCAGCATGCCCCTTGGTGGGTGCCTGGCTTGGCGAAGTGCTAGGGCAGGGAGGGGGGGAGGGGGGAGGGTTACTTAGAGTGGGGTAGCTTAGATTGGTAGCTACTGAGACCCTCATTGAGTCAGGAAGGGGTGAGGGTAAGTGGGGTGGGGAGTGGGACCCTGGGGTGAGGCCTGGGCCTCAGTGCAAACCCCAGCCTCCCTTGTCTTCCTCAGGCTTTGGATCCCCTGAATTTGAGTTCAATAAAAACCTTTATGTGGTAAAAGAGACTTGTCCTTAAAATGTGTGTATGGACAGTGCCCTGGGCAGTGGGAGACACTCGGTGGTAACTACACACAGCCAGTGAAGCTATAGGGCCTCGTCTGGGAAGTACTTTTATGTTCCGTGTTTCACCGGAATCTTAAAGTCTGATGCTCTGGAGACATGACCTGCCCATATTGTCCCAAGTTCATGTCTCATGCTTTGAATAAGGGGGCTCAGTGTCAGAGGTGTGAGAAAGCCTTCAGCTTTGTGGGCTATCCCTCTTACACAGACCCTGTTCTCATATCCAGGCATAGAGCCTGTGTTGCATCTCTCCCTGGCTCCCGGGATCTGGCTGTGCCGTCCCCCTCGCGCTCCCCATCTGGAACCCCTAACCATCACTTTGTGTGGACCCAGAGTGACCAGAACCACAGGGAGCGTGTACAGTTTCGACCCCACCTGTAGGGGGCACATATGGGACCAAATGTGAGGACTGGACAACTCTAGCCTTTAAGACCCACCCATCTGGGGCACCAGGGTGACTCAGTCGGGTTAAGTGTTTGACTCTTGATTTGGCTCAGTTCATGATCTCACGGTTTGTGAGGTAGAGTGCCATGCCGGGCTCTGAGCTGACAGTGTGGAGCCTGCTTGGGGTTCTCTCCCTCTTTCTCTCTCTTGCTCTGCCACTCCCCTGCTTTCTCTCTCTCAAAATAAATAAACTTAAAACAAGAACCCACCCCCACCCCCCACTGGGCCTGATGTGCCATAGCTGCCTCATTTTTGGAACCCCTGGACCTATTGGGATCACCCTGCTCCCAACCCACCTTTATCCTACTTTTCCTTCCTATCTGAGCCTCAACCCTCCTAACACTTGGCTCTTAGGAAGGGTGAGGAGTCAGTGCTGTGGGTGAGCCTGGGGGATCCTGGGGTGTGGCCTGCCTTGACCTTAGCTGAGTAGGGCAGGCAACAGCCTGGGGAATCACCCAGCTTCCAGGAATGTCTCCAGATGAATGCCCGTAAGGGCCCGATTGCCTTGCAAAGTTTTCCATTCTTTTTCACGGGTAAGGAAAAATGAGTTCACATAGCTATGACCTGCTCAAAGTCACTGCATGGATAAGAGGCAGATGAGGCATTCAGACCAAATCTGCCTGGCTCCATCGACCACCAGAAGCTTGGCCACACAGGCAGGTGAGGAATCCTCGCTCTAGAAGGGGTCTTGGGCCTCAGAATCCTCACCTCACCCCTAGCCCCACGCATGTGGGGCCTTATAGCTTGTCAAAAGCAAATAATTTCTCTAAGCACATTTCAGTTCAGCCTCTTAGGTTCTGGAAGCTCTGGAAGGAGACTTAGAGATTATGTAGTTCAATACAGTTTGGTTGTGTTTAGTGTTTTTGTTTTTTAATTTTTAAATGTTTTATTTATTTCTAGGAGAGAGAGAGACAGCGTGAGCAGGGGAGGGTCAGAGAGAGAGGGAGCCACAGACTGAAACAGGCTCCAGGCTCCAAGCTGGCAGTCAGCACAGAGCCCGACGCGGGGCTTGAACCCACGAACCGCGAGATCATGACCTAAGCGAAAGTCGGACGCTTAACCGACTAAGCCACCCAGGTGCCCCTGTGTTTAGTGTTTTTTTAAAGTTTTATTTTTGGAAGTAGAACATTATTTTTCAAGTAACATCTCTTGGTCTTTTAAAGACCTTTCTAAACTTTATGCACATTTTTGCACAGATATCTTACCACACATAATTTCCAATATTAAATAAAATACTCCACCTCCCACATTTAATATAGTTCATATGTATAACTACATATGTTAAATAGAACTGCATTTGACCACCTGACATATTACATTTATAGACATTTATTTTTTTAATCTTTATATGAGAGAGAAAGAGTGCAAGTGGGGGAGGAACAGAGAGAGAGAGAGACACACAGGTTCCAAAGCAGGCTCCAGGCTCAGAGCTGGGCTCTGTTAGCACAGAGTCCGATGAGTGGCTCAAACCCAAACACTGTGAGTTCATGACCTGATCTGAAGGTAGACACCTAACCGACTGAGCCAACCAGGTGCCCCTATAGACGTTTACTTTAACATTTATTTCAATTATACAATTTAATTTCAATATTTTGGAGTTGAATTTCCTTTTCAACTCCCAAACATGTTTGTAGGCCATCGAAAGCTGGGAGGCCCTGGGCGCGGTGCCGTGTGCTTAATTGATAATGTAGCCTGTATGCTATTTATGGAACTTTAGTGTATTACAGCAGATCAAATGGGGGGGGGGACTCAGCTGCTCAGCCCCCACCCCTCTCTTCCCTGTGGCAGCTTCTGAGGTATCTTCAGATCCCAGGTGGGGAAGGCCAAGCCCAGAAAGGGCATGCATCTTTCCCAAGGTCACGGTGAAGAACTGGGACTCCAATACTAGGTTATTTGACTTGCAGTCTAGTGTACTGCTTTTACCACGTCATCTTGTACAACTAAACTATTTTTTAAACATTCATTTATTTGTTTTGAGAGAGAGAGAGAGAGAGAAACAGCATGCATGAGCAGGGGAGAAGCATAGAGAGAGGGAGAGAGAGAGAATCCCAGGCAGGCTCTTTCAGGACAGAGCCCAAAGGGGGGCTTGATCAATGAACCGAATCATGAGATCATGACCCGAGACGAAATCAAGAGTTGGATGCTTAACTGACTGAGCCACTCAGGTGCCCCTAAACCATTTTTTTTAAAAAAGTAATCTCTACATCCAATGTGGAGCTTGAACTCACAACCCCAAGATCAAGAGTCATGTACCCTACTGACTGAGCCAGCCAGGCACCCCACAATGAAAGCATTCTTATCCACCACCTTTATCAAACAGTTAGGTGCTAGCAACAGTTTGCAAGTGTTACTTCATGTTCACAACAGCTCTGAGGTATATACAGTTATTATTCCCATTTTACAGATGAAGAAACGAGTCCCAGAGAGGCTAGGTACTTGCCCTGCATGGCATAGTTAAGAAGCAGCAGTGCCTGGACTCCAACCTAGGTCTGACTAGGTTTTGACTCTTTTCCCAAGGAGACTAAGATGTTACTTTTTCACTTTGTGCCACGAGTGTGGTGTTTTCTAGATGCGGCATGATATGTGATAACATATGTCATCATTCTGACAGCCTGTGGGGAGTGTGGGCTGGATGTCCTTACATATTACATTTTTCTCCATTTTAATTAAGAAAAATGTTTTAACGTTTGTTTATTTATTTATTTATTTATTTTAAATTTATTTCTAGGAGACAGAGAGCGTGAGCAGGGGAGGGTCAGAGCGAGAGGGAGACACAGACTCTGAAACAGGCTCCAGGCTCTGAGCTGGCAGTCAGCACAGAGCCCGACGCGGGGCTTGAACTCACTGACTGCGAGATCATGACCTGAGCTGAAGTTGGACACTTAACTGACTGAGCCACCCAGGCGCCCCTCTCCCTTTTAATTTCTAATCGGATAAACGCCAATAGATATAACTCATATAAACAAAAGCTCTTTGGGGATCTTTAATTTTTAAGAGTATGAAAGGATTCTTAGACCAAAACACGTGAGGGCCACTGAATCAAACGCTTACTTGTGCCAGCCTTGATAAGGGGTCAGTGTTGGGAACACAAGTGAGGGAAGACTGAATCCTGCCTTCTAGAACCTCCTAGTCTTGAGGGAGGAGCCCACACAATCAGCGTTATGTGTTCCAATGAGGTATATACAACGTGGAGATTAAATAGGTCATTTTATCCAGGAACTGAGGGAATGAGAAAAGCTGTGAAGTGCTTTGAAGTAGGAGGATGTTATTTGTTTTTTTACTTTTTAAAAATATTTTATTTTTAAGTAATCTCTACACCCAACAGGGGGTTCGAACTCACAACACCGAAACCAAGAGTCGCGTGCTCCACCGACTGAGCCAGCCTGGCTCAGCGGGAAGATTTTAAAGCAACCACATGCGAAGTAACCGCTTGAGCTAAAGCTGACCCTCAGCAGGAAGATTTTAAAGGCTAGAGAAGAGGTGGAACTGGGCAAAGGGGAAGAGCATGTGCAAAGGCACAGAGGCCGGGAAGGACATCCAGGTATTTGAGGACAGGGGCTGTTAAGCGAGCCGGGCTATAGAGTCTTGGGCATGACAAGGGCAGGTCTGTTCCTGAGATGAACCTCCCAGATTTTCTTGCTTCCAACCTTAATGAAAACATTCACTTTTTGTCTGTATGTCTATCTATCACTGAGGTGAGAGGATCCTCTCCATCCTGCCTTCCTGCTTTATCTTCTTCACAACACCCTCACCACCTCGAATCACATTTCTACTTTATCACTTTCCCGGTGGTGGAAATGCTTCCCCGAGGGCAGGGACTTCTCTGTGGTTTTCATCACCACACCCTCAGGGCACAGCACAGGGCCTGACACAAAGCTCCAAGAAATGCGTCAAGAATCAATAGAAACTGGGGCACCTGGGTGGCTCAGTCGGTTAAGTGTCGGACTTTGGCTCAGGTCATGATCTGACAGTTTTGGGTTCGAGCCCCGCGTCGGGCTCTGTGCTGACAGCTAGCTCAGAGCCTGGAGCCTGATTCTGTGTCTCCCTCTCTCTCTGACCCTCCCTGTTCATGCTAGGTCTCTCTCTCTCTCTCAGAAATAAATAAAACATTAAAAATTAAAAAAAAAAAATCAATAGAAACTCATAGGCTTCCTAGACCTTGAGATAATTTCATGCCCTTTTAGCAATTCTGTGATTTTCCTTTTTTTTTTTCCTTCCCTGGGAAACGGGCCTCACTTCTTCCCTCCTGAGGTCTTCCTTCTGAGGAACCATGGGGCTGGACCAGAAGGGTGCTGATGAAGCTGAAGAGGCACGCAGGCTTTGAAAAAGACTGTTCTGGGCCTTGTGTGCTCAAGAACGTTCGCTTACTCCCCTGCAGGCAGAAGGGAGCCATCAAAGGTCGCTGCTTGGGAGGCCAAATGTTGCTTCTCAGCTCCCAGTGCTGGACCCAGAGCTGGCCTGAGAATTACTCCATATTCTGCCCCACCCCACCTCTGCCCCCCCATCCTACTGATCACAAGAGGGCAGCAGTGATGAGCCCTCATCCCTCCTAACGCGGAAGGCCTCAGGGTCAGGCCCTACCAATTGTTGCTTTAAAATAAAAAAAAAAAAAGGTGGGGGGCACGGGGTGGCTCAGTAGGTTAAGCGTCCAACTTCCGCTCAGGTCACGATCTCGTGGTTCGTGGATTCGAGCCCTGCATAGGGCTCTGTGCCGACATCTCAGAGCCTGGAGCCTGCTTTGGATTCTGTGTCTCCCTCTCTCTCTGACCCTCCCCTGCTCGTGCTGTCTCTCTCTGACTCTCAAAAAAAAAAAAAAAAAGTCAGGGAGGGTCTGTTCTCACACCTAAGTGAACTGTCAGTACCTCCTGTAGGTCAGTCTCTGAGGGTTGGCATAACAAAGAAAAGAAAAAGAAGAGAAGAAAAGAAAAAGAGCTAACTGTTCGGGTCTCCCTTAGAGAAAGGTTTGAGAAGGAAATGCCCATCTAATTGAGCCAGGCCCGACTGTGGCACCGGCATGAAAACATCACAGAATTGGACAGATTTTCACATTTATTGGGTGCACATGTGCAGGCGCTGTGCTTGGCACTGAGAGCCAGTGGCCAGACATGGCCTGCTCCCTTGAGCTCACAGCCTCCCAGTGGGGGCCGCAGCGGGGTGTGATGGGGTCCTGGTGGGGGCTGTGGAGCAAGGAGGCAGGGGCCTGGGGAAGACCTTGAAGGGTGGAGATGGCAGGGCCCACCCAAAATGCTTTCTCGATCTTTCCACAGGTACCCTCACTAGGTTCAGTGAAATTCTGTCAAGCACCTACTGTGTCTGGCTCTGTGATGTCACCAAGGGACCCCAAGGTGAACACGACAGGTGTGGTCCTTACCCTCGTGGAGTTTAATTTGAGAGACAAATATTGAGTAACAATACGATCAGCACTGTGAGGGGCAAGTGTAACACGGGAACCCACTTGGGTTGGGGTTGGGGGAGGCCCTGAGGCAGTTTTACGTGACCTGAGATCTGAAGGCTGAGAGAGCCAGCCAGGAAAAGGGCTGGGGAGGAATGTTCCAGGCAGAGGGAGCAGTCTGGGTGAAGGCAGTGAGACAGGAAGGAGCTTGGCTCGAGAGAAAGGCCCGTGTAATCAGAGCTTAGAGAGGGAGGTGGGGAGTCTCGGGAGGAGGCCAGGGAGGCGACGGGGGCCCAGTTCTGCATCGGCTCGTGAAGGCTATTTCGCAGACTGTGGAAGGCATATTAAGGAACTCAGTCTTTAGCCAAAGAGAGGGGTTTGCAGTACCAGTGTAGTGACACAGACTGATTGCTCTCTGGCAGCAGAATGGAAGGCTGAACCGGACTCCAGGCTGGAGAGAGCAAAGGACGAGGTTCTGGGAGTCTGAGGCCTCTGGGGACGCCCAAGGGGCAGGTGGGTGTGAGGGCCAGGAGTGTCACTAAGTCCTGAGATGACAGTTTTTCCGAATTTAGATCACACAGTCTCTTCCAGGGGAGGAAACTAAGAAGGGCTGGGGGAAGCCAGGACCAGCTGATAATTACAAGGCCTCACTTCCGCAGCCTTCCAGCCCCGGCCCTCATGGAGCCTCGCCGCGAACCTGCAAAGCAGGCAGGCAGGAGTGAGCTCTGTGTTCAAGAGAGCGAAACTGGGGCCCAGGTGGGGGCAGCGACTTGCCCGAAGACACACAGTGAAACACAGGTAGAGGCAGAGTGTTGCGAGGCACCCCGAGTCTGATCCTGGGCCCTCTGCGCCGGGCCTGGGGCTCAGTCTTTGTCACTTCCATCCTGGGTCGCCTCCTCCTGGAGCGGCTCCAGGCAGCCGGGATCCCCACCCTCTTCCTTGGGCTCTGGCTGCCCAGGGTCTTCTCTAGGGATTCCATTTGAAGCTTCTACAGTAGCCTCCATCTTCTCCTTGAGGTTCCGTTTGAAGAAGCCGAACTGTAGGAAGACAAAAATTGAGTAAGCCCAAAGTCCACGGAACACTCTGGACTAGTCAGCCTCCGCAAAACTTGAAAGCACCCTTAATGTTGATGAGTCACACATGTCACATAGACGCGTGGTATCTGCCCCCAGGGACAGGACGGGGGTATCTACCACACCCAGCTCCTGGCAATAGGTTAAAAAGCTGTACGCTTAACAGTGCATTCTTTAGGCTCATCAAAATGTCATGTAGCAATATTTTAGGTGGGCGACTGGACAATATCCAGGAATACTAATAGCAAGAGCCTGCACTTACACAGAGCTTAGCATGTGCCTGCTTTCTCTGTTGAAAGCTCAAAAACATGTATGTTCTTTGGCTCAGCCATTCCAGCTCCAGGAATTAATTTTTTAAAATGTTTATTTGCTTATTTTGAGACAGAGAGAGAGAATCTCAAGCAGGCTCTGTGTCATCTGTGGGGAGCCCGATGAGGGGGCTCAATCACACGAGCCATGAGCTCATGACCTGAGCCGAAATCAAGAGGCACTTAACCGACTGAGCCACCCAGGCGCCCCACCAGGAATTAATTCTAAAGATCTGGTGGGGCGCCTGGGTGGCTCAGTCGGTAAAGTGTCCGACATCGGCTCAGGTCATGATCTCACAGCCATGGGTTTGAGCCCCGAGTCGGGCTCTGTGCTGACAGCTCAGAGCCTGGAGCCTGCTTCAGATTCTGTGTCTCCCTCGCTCTCTGCCCCTCCCCTGCTCGCTCTCTGTTGCTGTCTCTCAAAAGAAAATAAAGACATAAAAAAAAAAAAAAATGAAAATCTGGCCAAGTGTGCAAAGATGTGGGTAACAAAAGTCCTTTTCGGTTACTCTCTGGAGTAGGTATGAATTACAAATCTAAATGCTCATCAGTGGGGATCTCATTTAAATAAAAGGTTAGGGCACCCAGATGGCAGCAAACCGGCGAGGTGAAAAAGCGAGAGGTAGATCTGATTGTGGGCACACACAGAGACATCAAGATCTAATATCTGGTAGGAAATGTAAGCTCCCAAGCAGTATATATGGTCTTACTCCATTTACATTTTCTACACATAGATGGAGACACTGACTCTATGATACTTTTCTCTCTGTCTCTTTCGTGTTCATACATATACAGATGTTTAAACAACAAAATTAGAACCTGGAAGATCAGACACAAAATGGTTGCTGATGACAGCCCGTGGGGTGGGGGGGCAGGGGCGGTGCAACAGGGAGAAATTGATTTTCTGGAGTATTTGGCGCTTTCATATGGAACATCTGCCCTCCAGCCCTCATCGCCTGGCTCCTCCTTCAAATCCCAACGCTAAAGTCTCCTCTCCTGGGAGGCCTTCCCGGGCTCCTCAAGCCTGAGTGAGGCTCCCGCACACAGACCCCTGAGAGGAGCCCTTAGCAGGTGTGTTCCGGTCTGCCTCCCCCATTAGACTGTGAGCTCCCCAAAGGCAAGGTGTGTGGTACGTGCCTCGGTGTCCCGGGGCCTGGCCCCCAATACATGGGAGGACCCTCCTTCCCTGGGTCCCCAGTCCTGGCTCTGCCAGTGCTCAGTGTGTGTGGGAGACTCATTTGCTCATTGGGCCTTAGGAGTCTTAACTGTAGAAGGCGGGAGAGGCTGAGGACGCTTCTAGCTTTAACGCTCCCTGATCTTCGTACTCTCTGCCCTGACTCCTGTGAACCCCCCTTGGCCTAGCCTGGCTAGGGGCCCATTATCCCCAGGAGCTCCCACCTTGTAGAGTACCCCGAAAATCAGCAGGAACAACAACAGCCCCCCAGTGCTGCTCAGCACGTAGACGTAGAGCATGTCCTTCTCATATACAAGGTCGACCTTCATGACGACCTGGAGGACAAGGAGAAAAGGGGTTGTAGGAAGAAGCCTTTCTCACCTGTAACATTCTTGTGAATGGCCAGGTCTTAGCAATCTCTGGTCGGGATTGTTTTCTGACACCACCAGGCTCTGGCCCAGACACTTCTCTCCAGGGTACACCCCCGTGCCGCCACCAGAGTGAACCGGAGAACCTGCCCAGGACCCACCTTAAGCCGTTAAATGGCCTCCCTTCGTCCCAGAAGCTCAGCTCAGCACGCCAAGCTTCCAGAATCCGGCTAGTGCTTACCTTGTTAGGTGCAGCTTTCCCGCCTGCTGCTCTGAGCTTCCTGCTCTTCAACCTGCCTTGCCCGCCAGCTCAGCTGGGTGACCCGGGCCCCTACGCTCGCGACTCACTCTGCTTAGAGTGCTTTCCCATCATGCTCAGAGTGGGTGTGGGGTGGGCACCCTTGGCTGAGCTGCCAGCAAGCTGATCTCCGCCTGTGGTCTGCTTGCCCACCAGTGGGGGTGGGGAGCTCCCGGCGTCCACCAAGCCCTTCACCAAGGCTGACAGCTCTGACGGCACGGAAGCTCTTCTTGTGCCGAGCCCAGACCTCCCACGTGGCTCTCCCACTTCTCACTCTAGCTCTTCCAGCTCTGCCCTGGGGCTTCTCAGACCCCTCCGCTGACCTCTGTTGCCAGAACTTCTGAGGATGCAGAGACATACCTGGGCTAGAGAGGCATTGCTCCCATATAGGTGGAAGTGCTTGGTGCTGTTGAAGGAGATGGAGAGGGAGCTGCAGAGGCTGAGCATGGAGGGCACCTGTGGGGGTGGGGGGGAGGTGTCAGGCCAGGAAGAACAAGGGCCGGAACCCACCGACATCTGCACCCCACCTCGACTCAGCGCAGAGAAACTGGGATGCACCACGGCCACCGTGTTCTAGACCGCAGCGTCCCAGTGGGTTACTCCCTACTGCTGGGAGGAAATCTTCCCTACAGAGAACCCAGAAGAACCATCTGTAGGCCCACGAACACAGCCCTGCACGTTTCAACAAATCATGGTTCTCTTTCATCCGCCACTGTGTAAATATCAGGGCTTTTCATCAAGGTAGTGAATAAAAAAGCAGGAAGACTAGGTGGTGGGGAAGCCCAGTCCCCACCCGTGAAGGTCCCCCCGCAACCCGCCCCCACCATGGCATCTGCGGCCAGCGAGTGCTACCTTGATCTCCCCCACCAGCTCCAAAGTCCCGATCACTTGGAAGAGGATCTCCTCCTTGAACACAAGCGGGCAGCGGAACTTGGCCCCGGGCAAACAAGGCTGGCAGGAATGGAGAAAGCAGGGGTCAGAGAGGCCTGTCTTCCCACCCACACTCCACCGGCCCCGACTTCTGAGCCCGTGCCCCCCTACCTCAGACACACTGCGCGGCCTCTCCAGCTTCTCCTGCTGGCAGGTCACAGGAGGATCCTAGGAATGGTCTTCAGTTAGTCCAGAGCAGAGAGGGGACACTGGCCCCTTAAGGCCAGAGCCTGGCTTCCTCCCCACTCCCACCAGTGTGTGGCACCCCAGTTCACTCCCCCTGGCTCTTGGTGGATTCGGAAATCACTGAGCCCAACGGGATTCGTCCGTCCTCACTCCTTTCCCACACATCTGCACCCCTTTATGAGCTCACCCCCACGGACCTGGGTGCGTTTCCCTCCTCTGGGCAGGTACTCACCACAGTCACAGTCCAGTTTTGTGCGATGGACCCCTCGCTGTGTGGCTCTGGTACCCCAATCAAGGCCTCCAGGGGGGGCACGTTGTGGTCATAGACAGAAGGCTGAATCCTCACCTAGGACAGAGGACGAGGGGCTGCAGAGCCTTAAATGCCAGTCACCCCTCAACTGCCACTCCAGACGCAACCCTCACGGGCCGAGGCCTGAGAACCCACTCTCTCTGTCGGGCAGCGGGCAATAACCTCACCCAGTCCCTGTCCTCAGAACCTTGCAGTGTGGGCTACGGGTGCTCTGTGCTTTCTCACCGGGGCAAAGCCTTGCACATCCAGCAACGTGCTGCTCAAGTATCATTTCTTTTTTTTAATGTTTTTATTTTTTAATTATTATTATTTTTTTTTTTTTTGAGAGAGATAGAGACAGCGTGAGCAGGGGAGGATCAGAGAGAGAGGGAGACACAGAATCCGAAGCAGGCTCCAGGCTCTGAGCTGTCAGCACAGAACCCGACGTGGGGCTCAAACCCACGAACCGTGAGATCATGACCTGAGCCGAAGTCAGACGTTTAACCAACTGAGCCACCCAGGCGCCCCTCAAATACCATTTCTGAAGGTCTGGCTGACTCCCCAAGGGCAGGGCGGCTCCCCTTCTGTGTTCCCACAGCACTCCACACCCCCTGCAGGATGGCAATGTATCTGCTTGTGTGTTATCTCCACTAGACTGAGTGCTTCCTGAGGGTAGTTTGTGGCTA